ACAGAATCATTTTTTCCTGTAAAAGCAAAATCTTATTTTTTCCAAGGTGTTTTATTATTTTTTTAAATGAAAACTGGTTTTTTTTTCCCTGAAAGAGGATTAATTTTTATGAAAAGAATGAATATGGTTTTAACCAATGAGAAAGCAAGACTGCTAGGAGAGGTTTTGACAAACCTGGGACCAGCTTTTTCATTATAGAAATATGGGATGGAAATTGGATGTAAGAGATTTGAGCTTTCTCTACAAGCCAAGGAAAGAGCTAGGGAAAACAATATTCATTTATGTCAGGAAGGTTTTAGGGACACCACAGGCTCTGCACACATTACTTAGCAGCCTGGTAACACGCCAAATCCTGTGGTAGTTCCCAACATCTGAGACAACAGGGGTAGGCCTCTTTCTTTCAATAGCAGATGAAGAGTCTTCAGTTTTGTACAAAGCACAGCATCAGCCAGAGTGCTTGTTTCCACATAAATTTATGATGAAACTGTGTATTCAGCCCATAGGAAAACCCAGTCATTTTTAGTATTGGTCTGAAAGAGACCTGAAAGATGAAGACCTCAGCTTTAACAAGCTTTGGTGGTTGCTGCCCACTCTTCTTGCTGGAGCTATTCCATCTTGAGGGAGAACTGCATTTTAAGTACCTGTTCCCAGGTATGTTGATTATATTAAATACCTAATATATGGAACTGGAGACTTATCTTCTGGTCATGGGACTGCACGAGGTCAATTCCATTTATAAACTGCTAAGCCCTTGGTTTGGTATGCCAGGAACAAAAATATCTAAAGGAGAAACTATATTTGTAAGTCCTGACAGATAAGGCCCCATCTTTGAAATCCAGTCAGAAGAACTTTTTAATAACTACAAGACACCCCTCACAAAAGCATATTTATTTTCCCCTAGTTCATTACTATGTCACTATTGTGTATTATTCTCACATTTCCCCCCCACCATCAGTTGTGTCAATACTTTTATTGTTTGTAAGTTTTTTGTCTTTGAATGAATAATAAGAGCACATTTTGATGTTCTTAATTGTTCTTTTGACCCAAGTATATTTACTTTGTGAATCTCCCAAGCTTTTCTTGGTAAGAATGTTTTTTATTGATTTATCCCTTAAAACTATGAAGATTTTTATGACAGTAAGGCTTGAAGTCCCTATCATAAGCTTTAAAAGTTTAATTGAAATTAATTTAAAAGTTATATTTTATAATTAAAATTAATTTTATAACAATATACATGCCTAACTCCACGTATGGGCCTCAGCATAGCTACTGGTTGCTCAGTGGACTAACAGCATTGCAGCTACAAACAAACTTTGTTAATTATTGTTAGTTATCATACCAATCAATACCTGAATAATTAAATTCATCCATTACCAAATTCTAGTCTTCTTCATCAGCTTTTCTTCCACCAGTAATCTTGTTGCCTTAATCTGGTTTCTTCCCTGAAAACTATGGCAATCTTGGAATTTCACCTGATAATCTTCCTTCTTTTTTTCATTAAGTCCCCTAACCCAAATTGTTTAATGCCAAAATCTGAAGTCTTTAATGAAGATTCCACTGAAGGGAAGTTTGATCAAACCATATTTTGCTTTACTAGAGACTACTAATTTTATCTTGTCTTGCCCTTGAGTGAAATCCTATACATGTAAGTATTTGAAATTGCCATTAATTTTGTTGATTCATTGTCTTATTGATTTTCTTTCCAACTATTTCCATCCAATGTATCTAATAATTATTAGAAATGAGACAAGAACCAAATGCCTGCATCCATGCCCCCTCTGAGATTTGTGGTTCATACACATCTTTAATTAACGTAAATATAAGCATAGAACTTTCCCAAACTGATACCAAATTCTTTGATACAATGTTCTTACTTGCATATTTTTCTGTTGCAGTTTTGGTCAGGAGTTGCTTCTTGGGAAAAGCCTTGCATAACATGAAGCTTCATGCTCTTCTTAAACCTGATACCAAATGACTTGAGCAAAAGAAAAAGATTCCTCCTCCCTTTTATCCTCCTGCAAATCACTCCAACTGCTTTCATCTGTTCATTACTCTATAAATGCAACACCTTCCAAAATAAATTCACTGTTGAGATACAGGGAAAAGTGGGATACAAAAAAAATTGGGGTTATAATGAATTGATGATCTTAGAAGCTCATTAGCATCAATTAATTAAACCTTACTAGAACCAGTGAGGTCGGTATTATGGCCCATACTTCAATCCTGGCTGCAGTGTGCTATTTTTGTATCTCAATATCATTTTGTTAATGTGTATTCTGATGAGTGGACTGAAATGGTGTCTGACTAGAAGAGATGACTGTGCATATATTTAAGCTATGAATATTCTGCATGATGAGCCTTCATATGGAAACAACTTTTGTTTTCTTTTTTTAAAATACAGCCTTGTTCCTGAATAAAACATGCATGATAAATGAATTTAGAGAGCATTAAAGGGCTACTGACGATGCATAGGTATGTACAATATGTAAGTCCTTCTGTTATCAAATTAAGATGAACAGAATTTTTCTTTGTTATTGAAAGTCTGAGTGTGCTTCAACAAATATGAAATGTTCTTTTTTTTTGTAAAATAATTTATCTAATTGCTGCAAGGATTTAACTTACTATTTTAACTGCAATTATTAAAAGTTTGAAGAGCACATGAATCTCTTATTAATACATCATAAAAGTTATTCTGAGGTTTCATTGCAAGGAACATGTTTTGTTTTTAGTACTGAGGTAGAACTTTGACTCTTAATGAGTGCTTTCCCCCCCTTTTTTTTTCCATCCTGCACTAAACAAGATGTTGTTTATTGCTTGAAGCATTATATGTAAGCCCCAAGAATATGTTACATGTGACTGGAGCTTTGGCAGACTTTAAGAAATTGAAGTTTCCAGAAATTTTGCTATGTTTAAAAACCAGAGCCATGTTTTAAGGAAAGATTTCTACTTCCAAATATGTGGTTGCCTGAACCTTTTACATTTTGAAGTGAGATCCCTCTGCCAAATAACACACTGTACCTTAACTATAATAAAGAAGCAGAGAATCCGTGTTTATAAAAACATTGCAGGAGCAACTGTGATCATATTTCTTGAATTTATTCTATTCATGTGCTCAAAAATGCATTTTTATAGGAAGCTCTCTGTTTCACTGGTCACTTACAGGAGTAGAAAATGACATGTACAGGCAGAAGGCTGGCATAATGCAACAAACCAAACTGGTAAAGTACAGGAATTCAGAGCCAGACCAAAATATGAGGTCAAGGAAGTTGCTCTTATAATAATGGTGGTTATCTGTTTAATGTGTGATCTGGCAGTGATACGATGTTGACCATAAGCAATTATGCATGTTTCTAAACTGGTGGTATATGAGTCCTCAGTAACTATAGGCAAGATAGATGGGCTGTGAGAAATGGGCACTCAATCTATTCTTGTGGTTCTTTGTGCTTAGTGTCAATTAAAACTACAGATTAGTAATAGACAGAAATTCTGCTACTGTAAAACAATGCCTATATTCACTCTATCAGATGCCATGAACTTAAAATCAATATTGAAACCAGCTTTATGAAGCAAGCTCCTGTCTGAGCTGATATATGCTGCATAATATTCTTCTGGATAGATACGTGGTTAGACACGCTTTCCTAACTCTGTTTATTATTTGAAACAGCTTTCTTTACAATCAAGTTCTAATGTTGGTGAATGATGATCCTGTTCCGTATTTTGTCATTCATGAGCCTGAAAGTGGGAAATGTCCTCAATGTATGGAGTTGCCTGCTGCTGACCAGCAGGATTTAAAAGCAGGAAGGTCCTTGTAATACCAAACAGCCTGAGCACAGATTAGGACTTGGGAGCTGCCATGCTGTGGCCCTATCTCTGAAACCAATTTTTTACGACTGGTGAATTCACTGAATAGTGGTGTCTCTTCTTATAAGCTTTTAGTCAACTTGGATCCCACTGTTAAAACAGTCCCAATGTCCTCCTCTATAAAATGGGATTGCAATGTTTTCCTGGGCCTAGAAGGATGTGGCTAGAGTAGAAGCTTTATGGTTGAGCTAACTGCAGTAGAAAGTGTGCTAATGAGCAATGAAGACACCCAAGAAAGCCTCTTCTTCCCAAGAGCAAGCAGTTGCACACAACTTAGCTCCTTCAGTATAAGTCCTGTGACCACCAGCTTGAATCTCTGTCTTTGTACAGAAGGAGCTGTGGCCACTAGCCCTCCCTCCCTACCACTGAGCTCTGTTGAGAAATAATCACTTAAAATGCAGCATGTGACTTCCTTAAAACAAGTCCCAGCTAAGGCTTAAGCAGATGGCTTCCTACGGACTTCTCAAGCCACTTCATATGGCTTTGGCTGTTGCAAAGGTAATGGCTTGATGCCGAGTTCTTGACAAACTCAACACTGATACCTGCAAGGCATTCCAGAGAGAAATAGCATGTCTTTGTTGCCTGAAATACTGAATTGAAAAAGAGTTTAATGACCAGAGCACATCAGTTTATCACTGGTAATTTAGGAGCCGTATCAGTAACCTTGCAATAGTCCTGGACTTTCATGTCACATCACATCACTGCAGCTTTGGTTGTCACTTCAAGACTTCCCAAATGTAACCTTTCATCCTTTTGCTTGTTAGAAGCATAAAAATAAGGGCTGCAAAAATCCATGATTGTGGTGGAGAACTAAATTAGGAAATATAACTGCTTACTGAAAAGCCACCCCCTCTGAGAGAAATGTCAGTAACATAATGAATGCTATTATTCCGTTCCTTTACAGCCAGATTGGGGGTTTTGTTAAAGTCTGTAAGAAAGGGCACCAGTATCCTATCAGTAAACCATGCTTCTGATGGACATTCAGTGCTCCCTTTTTGGGGTAATGCTTTCAGAGGAGTCCCTGTGCTCCTAGGCAGCCCCATGACTTGTTGCTCTGTGTGGGATGCAGCTGGAGGAGAAGTTTTCTTGCCTGCTGCTCCATTGCATAAACAATATCATGGTAACTTTCCCCTTGTTACAGTCACGCAAGGCAATCGTTCAATCACCCGTAATAAATTGCAACTTCTGAAGTATCATGAAATGGTCATGTGCAAAAAACGGCTTAGTCTGTCTAACAGTCTCAAGTGCGGTGGGTTCCTTGCATTGAAAGAAACAACATATTCTCTGATAGGGCAGGGCTTTTTTCAACTTCTTCCATAATGTGTGTCTTATTTTATGGGAAAATTGCCTCATCCCTTCCCTTCACAACCATGTGGACCCTCTACTACTCTCTGGTAATGAAATCTGCACTTTACAAACACTATACGAATTACCTCAATAGAAAAATTCTGATAGCAAAAATAATATTATTTTAACCTTATTTATTATGATTTTGCAGCTAAGGAAAATGTCCAGGATTACTGTTCTATTCATCTCTCTGCAGACTATCAGCAACAGCTTTGTAGGCAAAGCTGAGAACGAACAGTTATAATAAGTTGTAATAACTATTTGGACGCATTTTCAAGCAAAATGAGAAAACAGTGCAGGCTCTGTTGGCTGATGTCCTGTTATTTGGAAATGTTTCAGTTGTTTAAATAAGCATAGTTTAGGGAAAAAAAAAAGTTAATTGCATTCCAGGTGACCTTGCAGTTCTTTCTTGGCATGTGGCATTCTGTGGCTAAATGAAGAGGTGAAAATATCTTTCTATACCAAGTTAATTCTAGTGAGCTAAATGGTCATAGAACAATTTGTTAATATTGGGAACGTTTCATTTGGAAGGTGTCCTAGTGTCTTGGAATAATCTTCCTAGAAAATAAAGGGGTTTGCCTTGTGTGGTGGAATATTAAGGAAAATACTATAAACATTTTAACTGAAGACACCTCAGAATTCAACCCTCTGGGGAAGATATTGATCTTTATACAAAGCTGCAAAATATTTGTAAATTCACTGGTGGGGAAAGCACATTTCACTAAGCTGGAATATTTTCTTCAGAATATGCCTTTTTCAGTTAAATTTTTGTTCAGAAAGAGTTAAAATATTTTCCTTTGATGATATGGAATTAAAGCAGCTTGACAAGACCAATGTTTTACTTCGATTTTATAATTTTGGTTTTGTATTTATTTTAGATGATATATTAGATTAACCTTCTATATTATTTCAACATCATTCAAATGAGTTCTTTTGATGTTTCCCATTCAACATTTTTTAAAACATCTTTCCCATTAGAAATTCTGACTTTTTGTTCCTATTCATTATTGAAAACACACTTTTCTTACCAGTCTGTTTCTAGCGTGTTATCTACATTTAGCATCTTTAACTCATCTTTGTGCGGAAGGTGGTGCCAGGGGCTCTGACCATGGCTGGGTACAAGGCAGTGGGTGAAGTCAGGAGAAGGAAGCAGTGGATGTGTGCAGAGGCAGCTCTGTAGGAAGTCTCACTGTATCTGTGGTGTTTTCCCTATGAGCTCCAAGTCTTTCATGTGTGTAAATAAGGTTATTATTTGCATCTTAAACCTTTTGGTCCTCTTTGGGGAGCATGATGTAGATGATGGTTTAGGAACATCTACCTGCAAGCCTTTCCTGGGGGTCCTGGTACACAAACGATTAGGTTTCTGCTGGTCTTTGAATCTAATTCAGCTCATCTTGTACACAGAAACCCAGAATTTGGGTGATGAAAGTGGGACCCATAAGACGGGGGCAGCAGGTTGTTAAACTCATTCAGCTCTCTCTAACAATTCCTCCAGTTTTATGTGAGCCAGTGGATAAGGTGTGTCATCTTTAAGAAATATCATGTCAGTTTCTTAAATACAGCTGTAAGAAGTGAATTAATTTCTCATGAAAGAGCAAATAAGTTTTCACCTCCAAATTCCCATGGACTTCAGGCACTCAAGCAATCTCTTGTGGGAAGTATCTTTTGCAGGAGTGGGAGATACAGAGGTCCAGGATAATGGATGTAGTCTCTTGCTTCCTTTCTGTATGGCAGCAAGATCATTAGAGATGCCAAAAGGATTTGGTTGTCTAATCCTGCAGAGCCTGTTTAGCCATTTGGAGATCCTTCTGAGTTACTCTAGAGCTTGGCACATTCCCAGTTTTCTTCCTTGGTATCCTGCAGGCTTTCTCCCACTCCAGCAGCACATTTTCTGCAGGAGCCGTGCTATTCCTCCCCTGCAGCCTGTATGGCAGAAGCCGTTTGTGAGCCTCTGTGGGAGTTACTGCTACATTCGTGGATATGTACAAGTTTTGAAGTAAAAATATGACTTAGAATAGCTCCGCCTTACTCCTATTCCCTAGAAACATGAATTCAACAAGGCTTACTTTGAGTGCCTGTGAGGCACTGAGGGTATGAAAGAGTATTTCAGAGCAAGCAAGCTCATATCATCAAACACAGCAAGCTAGTATGAAACTCTAAGCAATGTAGCATGGTGCTGATCTAAAGTGGTCTTGGATACAAGAAAAGGTGAATCCTCTTTCAGAATTATAGCGAATATATACATATATATTTTTTTTTTTTCCCCTGGGAAGACTTTTAGGACTGCTGCATTTATTCTTGTCTTTCTTCCCAGTCCATTTTGGATGTGACTGAAACTGTCTGTTCTAGAGCTGGACTCCAACTGAATGAGAGGGTTTTACTCCAGCCTCTGCCTGAGCATAGGTTAGTTATAGGTACTTCAGAAAGCAAAAGCAGAGCTGCATGAATAACCTGCTACATGTCTAAGTTGTACTAACCACATGAATAAAATTTGGTTTCCAGTAGAATAGGCTGGTTTACAACCCAGCTCATCCTGGAAGACACTGTGCGACTGCTCTAGGAAAAAAATGAATTTGCTTTACAAATAATAGCTGTTATACTCCTTCCCAGAGGAGAGGTGAAATCTGGAGGGGGAAAGATGAGGGGAGGCATACAGAAGGCAGCAGAAATGCATTATGAATTTATTTTTAAGTAGTAATATATCTGAGTAATTTTAAACTGTATTTATTCTCTGGGATGTTTATGTATTCCGGCTGAACATGGGATAACAGACTATATAAAGATATATGATATTAGTGAAGAAGAAAATTACTGCTATAGTACTTTCTACTCTCAGTTCCTTCTCCACTAATGCCCTTACACCTTTCTTTTTCAGGCTTTTTGTATCATCCTAAACAGAAGGATATTGAAGGGAGCTGATTCTGCTTTGATCCTTGTGCTTGTTGTCAGAGCGCTTGGGATTGAAGAGACTGTTGGCTACAATTGACTGTGACAATTAGGAGATGATCAGAGCCCTAGAGTGGAGCACTTAAAGGGTAATTTACATGTCAGTTTGTCGAATAAAAAAAAGATATTCAGCTAAGATTCCCCCCCCCCAGAGCCTTGTAAACTGCAATTTGTGCTATAGTAAGGAAAACCTGGCAGAGGAGTTAGGATAGCCATTTCCATTTGAAAAGAGGCAATCATAAGGCCACTGCTGAGCCTATTGTCCACTAAAAATGCTGATTTGCAGTCAGGGAGTGAAAGAGTGGAGACATCACTAAACAGAACCTTGTGCAAGGTAACTCCCCCTTGGTGGCTTTCTAACGCTGGCTGAAGGTTTTATATACCTTAAATCCTGCATTTGCTATCATTAAACATTGTTACTGATCATGAATGTCCTTTATAATAACAAAAAAATGAAGACATTGAGGGGGAGGTGGGTGGAACAGAAGCCACCAGCCAGTTGATAGGCTCACGCCAGCTATCTATTGTACCACATCTTTCTTATTCTTGTGCCTTTTGTACGCCAACATAATTTTCTTGTCACCCTTCGCACTTTGCCATTTAGGCACCTTCCGTAATAGTTTTCTCATAGGTTTTCCATACCTATTTACACTTGTTTTTAGACACACATCGAGTAGATTTTTTTTTTTTATATTTTTTTTCCTTGTTTAACCTCCTGGGAAAGGAAAAGAGAGAAGGAGGTGACAGTAGCCATTCAGTTCAGAGTTTGTCTATCTGTAACTGTGGTGTGATTAGGCTGTAATAAAGAGTTTATACACACAGGCCTCAGAGAGGGCTGAAGTTAAGACAGCTGAGTATTAAATAACCTTGCTTGTGATAAGTCCTTTTTTATATGATAGCTCTGATAAACCTAAAGTTGCTTTGACAGTAGGGTTATATGAACTTATAAAAATATCAAGAAAAAACACCTCCCTCATTACTCTGCTTGGTGTGAGCTGTAGCATATGTGATATTCCTAACAGTTTAAAGAAGGGATATTAGTGGATGCATATGTGGTTCCAGTGTTTGTATATGCAAATAAGTGTATTTATTTTGAGGTTGCATCATAGGCTTTTCTTCCAGAGATGGCACTGACTCCTGTCTCATTTTCCCAAGAGAAGAAATGGTCATGTATTCCAGTTTAGGAATCAGAATTAAAGGCTTTGCTTTGTCACAATTATGACCAAGTAGTATTTGCTGCCCAGACATGTACTGCCTAAAAATCCAGGGGCCACTTTTCTGGGGAAGTTTTGTGGCTTTCAGTAAAAGCCAGGCATATACACAGCATCTCTGATTCTCATCCCAGTGGCAGATGCTGGTCAAACACCACTGACTTGAGCAGATTTGGAATTTCTATTGGTGCCAGTAGGATAAGGATTAGGCCCTGTGTGTCCATAGGGTCACCAAAATGTCCTTTTCCTTAGGCGTCTTGTATGCTGAACACCAGACAATAAAGTTTCTGTTTCTGAACTTGCACTACAAACATGTTTTAACCTGGCTTCTGATTTTTTTTTTTTTTAATACTTCAAAATACTTCTAAAACATGCAGCATTCTTCTTCATTGTAAGGTTTAATTCAAAGAAAATATTTTAAAACATATGTTTGCTTCTTTAGGAGAATCATTATGTTGTCATTTCTTTGGGATGTTATAAATGTGAGATGGTGGCTTTTGCCCTCTGTTGCTGTTATACTAAACTTCTTTGAACATACCAATGTTTGTATGTGTTTATCTCTGTATCCAATGTAAAGAACAAACAGGAATAAATAAAATATGAAGAGTAAACAGTACGAGAGGGCAAGTCTGGAACGACTTTGGCTTCATATGTGTCTGCAGAACTGAGGCAGTGTAAATCTGTATTAAAAAAAATCTAAAAATCAGGCATAGCAGGAGGTCCTTGTCTCCCAGGTAATGGGTAAATGATGAGCAGATGAGTCATAGTCATATTGATTTAAGCATTTTGTTCCAGCCAGTCACAATGAACTTTGATTTGTTTTTACTCTCCTCTCATCGGTTTGTATTTAAAGGAGTCTCAGAGCACTAATTGTATAAAATTCTAGTAACTAAACATTCTCTTGCTGGAAAGATAATGAATGAATGAATGATTTGGGTTTCCTTGTAGTTCAGAATTAACTTAAATATTTATTTTTTTAAATAGGAAGATGAAAGTTTTACTTAATGACAATATATTTTGAAAAGTCTTCATTTTTTAAGAGGTGTAGGTTAAAAAGAGTTTTCCCTAAGACTTTTGGAATGTAAAGTTGATAAGAATTTAATTGAGATGTGTTTTTTTTAATGAATTATGCAATCTACTGTTCCTGATACTAAATAGAATTTTAAATAAATAAATATATGTATTGATCATAATGCCAGAAAGCATATTACAATGTCCCTAGAATTGCTTTTCTTGCTCAAAAATACATAAAGAACAAAAGTCTCCATATCCACAATAAAAATACACTTCCTTATGGAACCCTGGGTTATACAGATTGAGATCTAATTTAGATTTTAAGCTCATGAGAATAAATCATATCAGTGTAACTACTTTTTATTTATGAGAAATTATATTAATGGTAAGGCATTGTACAACTTGACTTCTATTGGTTTGAAATAGTTAAAGATCACAACAAATTATGTATAGTGAAATACTATGACCCCATTCACTACATATCTTCTTATTGAGTCTGAAATACATCCCTATATTGCTTTGTGAATTAATAATATGATGTTGAACAACTACAGATGACTTTTTGTTAATTAGAATTTCAGACACATGCTATGATGCCTCAGAACTTTCCCTGTTTTCTGCTAATAGGACATACCGAGTGAACAGCAAAACGTTTTTCAAGAGCAGGAAGGGAAAATGGTCTGATCTGAATAAGATGTTGCCTTGAGGAAAGGCACCTAACTTCTTAATGCCTGGATTTCATAAAAATCTTTAAAAATTGTGGCACTTCCCAAAACTGGATGCTTGAGCAAGTGTTGAACTACAGACTTGTGATGTGAAAAACTCATCTGTTCTCTGTGGTGACAGAACATACTGAATATAGATTTACAGTTACATAAATTTGTAGTCTTTACTAATTGGTCTTTTTACTTGATCAGACCATATCTTCAAAGATAAAAAATAAATAGAGCTCCATCATTAACTGTGGGGCAGCTGAAGCTCCACAAAATGTATACTTATCTGATAAATATCAAAGAAGGTAAATACACCCTTTGAATGCACTTCTGATAGTAAGATGGCTTTAAAAGTCCACACTACTTTGGGTGTTTCATCTTAAGCAAATTTGAAATCTAACCTCTGCATCTCCTGGCTTACACATAATATTGAAAAGTCTTGCCCTGGGCCTAATAATGGTGGTATATTTCAGGTTTCCTTGTACCCCAAATAATTTTAAAACTCAAACTGACAATTGACCCTTTGATGATCTTGTCTCCTTTTTATTTCAAGCTGGGCCTTACTGTAGAGTTTGGATTAAAAGCATAGTCATAAAAAGTCTACTCCATTAAGTTTTCAAAAACCAGGGAAAGCAAACCAAACAAAAGTCCCTGTACAGCTTGTTTTTCGAAATTCTCTCCCAAAAGGCAGAGCTAGGGCCAAATGGAGTTTGTTCTGTTGAGGCAGAAAGGAGCTCACTTTTGCTTACCAAGCATGTAGTTCCAAGTTTTGCTTTTTGAAGGCAAACCCCAGCTGAAGCTGAGTTGTGCACCTTGCAAGGTTTTGCTTGCTTATATGAAAGTGCCTTTACAGTAAATTCACTAAGATGGCTCTAACATCAAATAGGCTCCTAATCTGGAAGGCCTGTGCCACAGTCATTCACATTTTAGCCCAGTAGAGTCCTTGCAGGCCCTGCACAGTGAAGGACAGACCTGACCACTAAATTTATTACAGTTCAGTAAGTGAAACTGATGAAACCAGTTCATTCCCATGCCTGTTGAGGGTCCGCCTGGCATATCAATGTAGTTCAACTGCTGTTAGCACTGGCAGGAGTGGTCCATTTGGGTGGAGCTGTTGATTTGTGCAGTGATGGCGACAACAAAGTCAGGCTGAAGGAGAAAGAACATTTGGATTTGCCTTCAGAATTCTGAGGCTCCAATAAAAAGGGTGCAAGAAATGCCAGGCAAAATAGAGATCTGCACATACATATTAATTAATTATTTATACCATTTTGGTTTTAATAGCAATGTTGATGACATGAATATTAAACTGAAGTGTTAAAGAGGCTCTTAGGTGGATGTAGGGCAAGACAAAACATGTAATTCTGGTGAAGTTAATGAACAGGTTTCCAAAGCACAACTGTATTTATTATTGGCTATCATAAGGAAATGAGACTTAGCATTCTTATCTGAGAAATACATGGAAATGCCTTACTGTATACTACAAAGTCACAGAAACAATTCAGAATTCCAGTTTGCTTTCCTAAACACTCTAAGATTTTGTGAGCCTAGTGGTATTTCATATTAATAATGTCTTATAACTGTCATGGAACTGTTGGAACAAGTCCAGAGGAGGCCTGTGAGGATGATCAGGGGACTGGAGCACCTCCTGTATGAAGATAGGCTGAGAAGGCTGGGGCTGTTCAGCCTGGAGAAGAGAAGGAAGCCTGGAGACCTCATAGCAGCCTTCCAGTACCTGAAGGGGGCTTATAAGGATGCTGAGAAGGGACTCTTCATTAGGGAATGTAGTGATAGGACAAGGGGTAACAGGTTCATACTTAAACGGGGGAAGTTTAGATTGGATATAACGAAGAAGTTCTTTACTGTAAGAGTGGTGAGGCACTGGAACAGGTTGCCCAGGGAAGCTGTGAATGCTCCATCCCTGGTTGTGTTGAAGGCCAGGTTGGACAGAGCCTTGGGCGATATGGTTTAGTGTGAGGTGTCCCTGCCCATGGCAGGGGGGCTGGAACTAGATGATCTTAAGGTCCTTTCCAACCCTAACTATTCTATGATTGTATGATTATGGAACATACACACCTGGATGCTTAACATGTTCCTATTTTTTTATGTTGTATATACAAACACTGGACAAAATAACATTTCAGACAGTTGAAGCTAACTATGAAAGAACCACAGCTCAGCATACCTCCCACTGAGCTTAAACTGTCAACAACCTGTAGCGCAAGGAAGCATCACTCACTGGTGTTAACTTTGCCTTTATGCTAGATTATTAGCTAAAGGAGGAAATGTCCAGAACAGAAGAGTTTGAAGAACAGGGCTGAAGAAATGTAACAGCTATGCTGTACCTGTGATCGCAGATTGTTGTTCAAAGTAATCTAAGGTGTAGCTGCAAAAGGTGTAGGGCTGCTTTCCCCACTCATCTGCCAGTAAAGCAGGTGATTTCTGAGGGTCTGTTTCCCCCAGGCTCGTGCAGGAGGTCTGCATGACAGAGGCACTTACTGACAGAGATGGTCCTATAATGCACTCATAATGCCTATAATAAATGTGGCCTTAATCCTGACTACAGAGAAATAATTTCCCTTGACCAGCACTTTGGCTTTGTTGTATATATAATTAACAGATTAGAGCATGCACTTGGAAATAAAGTGGAAGAGAGACTTAAAAAAGAAAAAGAAATTATACTTACTGAGCCATAGTCCTTAGTTATGCATGTGGTTGTAACTCCGTTCAAGCAAGCAGCATTGCTCTGCATGGAACAGAGACCTGCACCTGAGTTTCAAACTCTTCGGCATCATTTCAGGGCATCAGATGGGACAGGGTGGTGCAAAGTGGCCCCAATGTAAATGGGAATTGGGTCTTTCGCTAGCAATATGCAAAGAGAAAATTGTTAAAAGTTAACTGAGCATCTTATCTTACTAAACACACACAAATACCTTATGAATTCTGTAGCTTGACCTCATTTAGATAATTCCTCTTTTATTTGATCCACAATGCCATCCAGGCTCTAGAGTAACCAAGAAAAAACATGGCCTTCTTGGTGGACATGTCTCAGAAACAGGGCCAAGAGACTCTCAGATTCAGGTACTGTCAGTAAAAATCCAGCTGCTGAGCCTCTGTGTGGCCCTCAGTCAGACAGATACTGACATCATGTACAGCTGTGGAAGCTGGATGCTAACCCCACACTGTTGTAAAACCCAAGCGTGTGAGAACTGAAGTCTCAAGTTTGCAGTGCTTTAAATAAGTCTGAGGCTAATGAGAAAATTAGGTCTGACATTCTGAATTCATACTGAAAACTGTAAGGGAAAATGGGATGATTAATATTAATAATCAGTAGCAGAAGTCAGATGTCTGAAGGACTATTTGAACTATAACGATATCCTCTTAAAAGTTTGAAATGAACTCTTCATACGAGTTTGAAACTTGGATATTAGTTTATGTGCATTTCTTTAATGTCTGATTAGCAGAAAGTGTAGATCAGATGTTTTCCACCTTTCTTGATAGATAGCTAACTT